CGCTGTTAAAGACTCCTAGTTTGTGTCGAGTGGACGATAAACCCCATTTCTCAGTAATAAATTTATATTCATAAATAAGCAATAATATAGACGGGGGTTGTTCAGGACGCTAATGTGCCCGCCAGCAGCAAAAACATCCGTGCTAGATGCAAAATTCTTGTCAACAAATCCAGAAGGGCAAGTAAAACAAACATAAAAAAAGAACACTATGAAAAAAAAGATGACTCCGCAAAGTTCGAAAATTTTGAAATCAAAAGCATTATTTCTGATCCATCAACGAACAATATCACCGAGTTTTAAACAATGCTATATTATAGTGTTTTCAAGCCTTCATAAACTAGAACACAAACGATTTGCCATCGACATTTTGTGAATATTTCGAAGTTGAACAATAGAAATCTCTAACCTTTACCGCTTTCAAAAGATTTCGTAAATGTTTAACGTAAATGTGCGAATAACTCCGCGACTGAACAATTTGGATAGGTTTTTTTTGTATGGCCCAATAATTGAGAAAAATCCGTAAGGAACAATCTGTAGATGGGACATAAAATATTGTGGATGGACACCGGTAAGACAAAACTAAGTGACATGACCATAGTAATTTAATATACTTGATATGCTACCTCTCAAAAAAAATGTGAATAACATCTATTAAAGTCAAAATATAATTCAATCATTCTGAGACTGACACGGTAATTATGTTAAAGGTTTCATGTATACAATACCCTGGTGGTGATGCTCCTGCCATAATATTCTGAATTATGAATTCAAAGTACTAAGAAACCGTCTTCAGGTTTGGAACCTCTATTTTTCGTCTTATCTGAATGACTAGACATATATTCTCTTTGTCATCGCTGACAATTGGGGACCGGGGGTAACAAATTAGACTTTATAAACGATAAAGAGATACATCCCAGTCCGTTTGAATATCTTCTAATTCAACATTTATTCCATAGAAAAATATATGATAAAAAATTATACTTGCAGTACTAGCCGCGTGAATGGCAGCCTCGGCACTTAAAGCCATTACAGAGTTCATAACGAGTCTATTAAAGCCTCTCAAGAAACGCTTAAGTTCAGTATCTTGCGTAATTTTCTATTATAGAAAGTTGCCAATAGAAACATTTTTGTAAGCAATTTTCCGCTCCGCTGATTAATGTGCCTCCTTCAATGGTGACACGTTTTTACTTCCATTCATTGAAACGGTCGTACAATTTCCCTCAAGGGGTTTTATAGTAGTTAGAGTTGTTGAGAAATAGAGTTGTTGTTACGCTATGTAAAATCATATGAATATTGACCATGTATATCTTTGGAAATTTCAAATAAGTTGGTATGAACGCCACTGCCGGGGCTAAATCATCCGCTCATTTTTGTTGATACAGTATTTTGTGCCCCCGTCAACATTCTTAATCTTATATTATTCCTATATTTCGATGTTAATTTTGCCAAACCCGAACTCTTTTATACCCTTTTTACACACAGACAGCGGCATAACTTTTGACCCGTGTTGTGTTTGTTTGGGTGACTATGCTTACAATTTGGAACCACATGTTAGTCCCGAAATGACCTAGTTAGGGTCGAGTGGACGTTAAATCCCACTCCCCCCCCTCACAATTTGTCGACTTATACTGCAGATTGCACATTCTGATAAAAATCAGGCGTTTTTCAACGAAATGGAGATGTAAAATAATCATACTATAGCTTTCGAGGGTGTCATTCAAAGCACTGGACTGGCATCCAATTAGGTTTACATGGCCCATGTCAGCTTAAAAAAATCACCAACAAATAAATAAATAGGTGGCCATTTGATAAGCGAGTGTCGAAACTACGGACTGATCACACATAATGGCATACGCCTTGGCTACTATTATCATAATAGCTACAATTTGGCTGCTGTTGTGCACAAGGCAGAACATGCATACACTTTCCGGAGTCCCTGAAACTAGTGATATCACTTTCCACCTGATGCATCAGTGGCAAGTTGACGTAGCTTGTATATTAAAGTCCCGATGCGCCATTTTAAGCACTATTACAACGCTGTGAAATATTAATCTCTAATATGGAATATCATTCCCAATAATGGTACAATTCTGTCCTGTTCACGAAAATTTAATGAAAATAGAAAAGTGTATGCCCATTTTCTTTCGTGTGTTTTACCACTCTTTCATTATTTTAATTCTCTGGTGATTAATTTTCACACTGTCACTTATGACATTCATTATTTTTATACCAAATGACAGCAAATTTTGGAAATTTATTTAGGAAATCTCGACATATCTGGAAATATTAATCTATGATTTCCGGCCTTGTCCACTATTATATACTATCATACGGACGTCCATTGTTACACCTGTACAAAACATCGCATCAACATCAATTTTTACCTGCCTTTCGGCACCTTTGATGTCACGTAAGAATGTATGTAGGTTTAATAAATATAGATAACGTATTGTTGACTTGTCACGATGGTTTATCATATAATAGCTTGATTTTACTTATATTACTATAAAACTAAACATCGTGACTTCGCACGAACTAAATTTGCAAGATGTATTTATAATGTAATGCATATAATCAATTCAATTAATGCTACATTTAAAGTCAGTAAATAAGTAGGTTAAAGTGGAATTCTGACTACCTTTTATTTAAAAAAGAATATTTGAAATAATTTGGATCGATATCATATTTAAAATAAAACTAGACAATCTAAAAATCCAACTGACCTTCTTAGACTCATACAATAATTGATAGTTCAAACATTTCTTTATTCATACATTCTAATTTCAGCTGCTCAGATGTAAATTATAGTCAAATCATGGCTAATCGACCCTTAATTTTTCACCCACCATCGAAGGTCTCTTGAATTTTAAGGGTCATGATATAAGGAAAATATAGAAAAGGATAACAGAAATTAATCTCTTAATCCGATTCCTTAGCTTGAATCACATTGGCCTTTTGAATTATATTATGTACTGTATTTGTTTACTGTTATAAGTTTGATGTTTTGATGTCAACATGGATGTTGTAAAGTAATATGAAAATATTTCAAGACTTTCAGTAATACCTAAAATGATCAAACAACTGTAACAAATGAAACAAAAACTAATCTATATTTCATGAACGTTGGGCTTGTATTAAATTTATTCATTTTTTATCTCTTTTCGAAAGTCCCCTAATATACAAATGTAGACAACTAAATCACAAAATTTTACAGGGTGATCCATTATTTTACAATCACCCCCCCACCCCCACCCCGTGTCATACAGGCATGTATTATTATTATTATCCCGAAAGACAAAAGACCCACGCCGGTCTCTATTACTGCTAAATTTGAGTGAAGTCTGTATCACTACAGGCACGGGACTGTACTACAGCGCAGTGGACGCTTACTGCTAGCCCCCCCCCCCCCACCCCGGTCCAAGTACGTTTGTTTGTGATTTCTGCGTATTGTGTATTGTCCGTGGATGTGTTTTGTGTAATTGTGTGTTGTGCAGTCCCCCTGCATGCACTTACTAATAGTATAGTGTTATGTATGTTGGGCGGGGTATTCAACAACTTATGCTAGCTATATCATCTCTTTGTATATGTTTTAATCAGATCATTTATGCGTACAAACACAATACATCACATTTCCTTCGTAACTCAATCAAATAGTTATCATTTTTAGACCAAATGCCGTAAATCTCTTCTGAAAAATGTTCCATTTTGGGACATAACGATGATTTATTTGACACCGACGTCCGGCGATATTCCAGCTGAGACTGATATCTATAATTTTTTTTGTATCCCAACTTATATAATGAACGTGCGGTAGAAGAATCACCTTCTCTTCTTTTCAGTGCCATTTAAATGATGAAATGAATTAATGCTTACATCTTACACTCTATATTAATACTAACATCTTCATACCGAATTAATATTTTGATTTACTTTTTTTTTTTTTTAATTTATTCATTTTATAAATTTATTTGTTGTTATTTAGTATTTGTTTTGACATTATAATGATTTGGGCTACGTTGTATGTTTATACCGTCTCCATTAGCCCAGTTAGTGCAGAGAAGTTAAACCCCATTTCATTCATTCATTGTATGCTTATATATGTATATGATGCATGGCACACATATTGTAGAAAGTGAATGTTTTCATTTTAATTCACTATCTCTAAATCAAGCACACGCATTACATTTATCTATAGAACGCGTTTAATTCATGTTTTCATACAGAGGCTAAATCAATTAATTTTTCATCTTTTAAAATTCGCTACTCCGCCTTTAATGTCAACATGCAGAGACACTCGTTATATGTTAAACGACTTCTTTTCCGTATTTAGCCCGAATGGCTGAGTGGACTCTCTAAATAATCTTGTAGTGTCGGGTCCCCTCACACCCTTGAAACAAACACTACTGACTGGCAAATAAAATGTTTAAATTCGGGATCCTTAGAAAAGTACGATTTTTCACTCGGACGTGTTTTTACGGTAATTGGTGTCATGTTAAAAGTTTCCTCTGTTCAAAGCACGCAGATGTGTAACCGGGTAAGCCAAATGTACCCGAAGTTACTTCGATGTATCTGTCCGATCTATGTATAAATAGTATCAAATAAACTACCACTACCACAAAAGTCAAATGTAGAAGTCAGAAGGCTACCACATTTTTTTGTAATTTTCGAACTAAATTAGTAGTTAAAATGTGTTAAATTTCATTACATTACACAGTGAATTTACCGTTTATTTCGTGTCCTTAGGAAAAGTTTTATTTAATCATTAAAAAGTGCTGGATTTTTTAAATTATCGAAAAAGATTACAAAATTTAAAAATCTTAAATGATATTACCAACCATCTAATTGGTTTGCATAGCCATGGAACACAACAGCTCCGTTGTTTCGTGCTTTACCGTTATATTGTACCGTTGTATACACATGAGTAGTTCCGAGGGGGGAGAACGTAACAGCCAACTGTGTGGTAAATGTCATTTCCCCGGGGGGTTAGTGTAACAGCGTATTATAATGCTGCAATGTAGAAGCACAAAACGCGATTCTTGTTAGTGTGGTTACTGACAATCATGATAGTGGACCAACAAATCTATGTTCTTGAAACACCAACATGATTGCACGGACTTTGATTGTTTTATTGTTTGCTACATACGTCGTGAGTAAAGGTAAGCATGGCCGATTTATAAATTATTTCGTCTGCTTGTATCCCGCTGTACACTGCCTCCATTCACTTGGCAATGGCGGAGTTAGTTTATGGGTCGCTTTATTATTGTGAGGTCGGCACCCTTTGTTGCAGACCAACTGTAGCGTGTATACTCATTGAATGTACTCCCATTTAGAGAATAATTCGGCACTAATTCAAAGATCATAAAACGTAGGGAAAACAGGAGATTTTATAGCATGCAACCATAAACACAGCGTGAATTACTTGTAAATTTTGAAGACTTCCCCTCTTCGACTGATTGTTATGTTACCGTAGAACATGTACCTCTCAAGTAAGGCAGTGTTCTCTTACAACTTTTAGTTTATAGGCCTGTTTATAATAATGAAACATTTACATGTGTTTTGGACGTTTCATGTACGCTCAACTTTCGATTTATTTCTCGAAATATACAGTAGACATAACATGACATGTCATATAACTAGTGGTATACTATATTATTAGTATTAATTTCACAACATGAAAAGTTATGCATATCATAACTTTATTTTTATGGCTTTAACCAAAGTTCAGTGTTCGGTAACCATAATATCATTATATCTAAGAGTTAAAAAAAAATATGACAATATTAAATGATAATTTTAATACAAGAATCTTGTTCAAAGTTTACACTTATTAATACAATATTCATGAAGTTGATACTTTTTACTCATTTATCATTTATAGTCATAATAACAAAATTCGCTAAAATTAAGTTAAAACCAAAAAGAAGAAATAAACTAGTTATTAAATTGAATATATTTTCTATTTGATGTAATAATACATATTTATATACTCTGTTAATAGGCAAAAAACCAAATTACATTCAGAGTATTGACTTGACATAACACATTCTAATAAGATATAAAAGAACATCAAACAATTATAGCTACTGTATACAAACTTCCCAAATGAATAAGAAGTGGTGTCAGGTGTTTTTCGAATGAGTATGCATACCACACCTCATGCGCAACACCTGTCACTATATTTCTAATCAGTTGAAGGTCTATCTTAATTTTCTCTTGAATACCGGTGTGTAGGTAATCTCTATCAGCCATGATTTATAAGACAAGCTTGTAGAGTGATGAATTCATGGAATATATTGTATTAACTACCTCATATCCCATGGCTTAGCCTAACCAATATTTAATATTTTTCTCTGATACATCAATATATGTCATGTAGCTTTGAAAGTAAATCACAAATTGTTTGATAGGATATTATCATACCAGGCCCTATGTGGAATTTGAATCCCACACCTAGATAACCCTAAGAAAGTTACAAGAAGTGGTTAATCCGAATTAAATGTAATTAATAAATATATAAAAAATCTACCCATGAGGCGTGAACCAGGTCAGTCAAATCTCAGTATGGCTTGTTTATTCAAAACTGAATTAAAGTTACCGGTAGTTCTAAAATATTAAAATTTACTTTTAAACATTGAGAATTCATGAAAAGTCTTTTAAGGTCTATGTGTACTAAATGTGCACATGTACATTTAGGCATGTAGTGTCACACATGGTTTGATATAGCTGTAATAAATCTTGTCAGTGTTATTATACTTTTAAAGAGGCATTTAGCACTTCCAAGTTCCTGGTGATTTGATATAAAATTGATTTAAGCAGCCACAGTTGCTCAGTGAGTAAGACAAGTTGACCGAGAATTTTCCGATGCGGTTCCCACTATGTCAGCGGTGCAGGATGGATGGCATGGCAATGTCCCATATACACATTGGCGTGAATGTACATGTAAAAGAACCCTTGACAGTTGAAATTTGATATAAGTGTAGGCCGTAGTGCCGCTATTGCAGCGAAATTTCCCTCAGCACTGCATGGAATATGCCCGTCTTCATTAGCCAGGTCGGAACAGAACAGTAGGATGTTAAACCCCATTTTATTTCATTATAAAAATAATTTGACTATGCAGGCACATGGAGGGTTTTTGATTTAGAATTGTATGCCAAATTTGGGAGCATCCGGCCAACCGATCTCCAAGATATAAACAGTTTAGTTTTCAATTTACTAGTCAAACAAACGCTCTCTGAAAATAGCTCATACATGTATGTCATGTACAGCTTTGATTTTTGATAATTAGATGAGACTAAGGATGTAATGTTGAAACCATCGATCATCATTTGAGGGATTTTTAATCTCTACAATTAATATCATTGTCCAGAAATGGTTTAATTCCATTCAATATTTAGAAAGAAATAATGAATTGAAAATTGTAGCAAATATTTGGCCTCCTGGCAGATTCTATAAACAAGCAGCATCACATTGGGTAAAGATATTTTAATAGTCCGCTTTATGCTGCAGTACATGTATAAGCTGGAAGATAACTAATATTGTTATTTCGGTTTTGTTGTCATACAATTACGTGTTTTTAAAACATAGATGATTAATTTAAGTAAATTTTAGCTTGGATTTAACCTTGAAACTTAAATATTTTCTGAAAAGTGTGCAATTGGGTTTTGGTAATTTTGATTAAATGCATATAATATATGTCAGTTACTTTGTCTTCCCTACCTGTATTATAAAAGTCAGCATGGTTTATACAGACATATCTGTCATTTCATTTCATATGCAAACTTTAGATTTTATACCTGTCTACATTAGCCTGTTTGGTGCAGAATATTGTTTTAAAATCTCATTATTATTATTATTATTATTATGGATTTATCATTCACCTAGTCTATCTGTTTAATACTGTATTTTGATATCCATTGACTACATGTATGTACAGGTATAAGGCAGAAGCCATTCAATCCCCCTACTTGATCGCTCTTTACCTATGTAACGATTTACACATGATAACACACAGTGCTGAATGTAATAACCAGCAATGATGCTACTCAATGTAACGATAAACAATTAAGAAATTAATTGATTACTAAGTGTTGTTGCTGTGGCTTTGTTTTATCACATTGATCATTGATCAGCAATAAGTAGCTTGGTCTTTATCTCCAGGGACTTGACCATCCTAATTGATGATTATGGAGAAGGATTGAACCCCCCCCCCCCACAGGGGCTTGATTCATTTGGCCCACATGAATATATAGTGTGTTTTTAATGTTCTGCCATCAGTGGCTTGATTGTGAGTATTTTACTACATACATGTATATCAAATAGACAATACAGGATAAGTGCCAAATAAAATGCCAGCGCAAAATAAACAATACAGTAGGGACAGTACAGTTAGATTAAGGATGCATTATGTAAGATTTAGATAAAAACCTGACAGTTCTTGCTATAATAGTTTAAGGATAGATAATGAAAAGGGAATATATTGAAAATTTCAGTCAAATTACCTTTTTCTGAGCGAAGTTATGAATGTTTTAAGTTTTGATAAGAATAGCTTGGTTTTGATTTTCATTGCTACCATTGTTACGATAATTTTTAAAATTAAATGATTAAATGTCAACCAAGTTTAAATCTATTAGAAATATAAACCGTCCGGTTGTCTAGAGAGTTGATTATGGGCTTGTCATGTGAATAAATGTCTAATAATTTACATGTACATGTAGGTAACATTTTAGACCAAAATAGGCAGAATTAGCTCTTACATGTACATAATGCATCTTTAAACTTTAACATTCTCATAGTACATGCTGATACTACATTCGGGAAAACTATGAAAATTTATATTTTATGAATATGTCCCTATGTGGTCAGATTCTTGATATTTTTGCCAACAATATGTATCTTTCTAGACATGTACTATCATTGATAGGGATGACATTGGGGCGAGTTAATTAGCTCTTATTATTTACCGAATATTTCATATATACATACATGTATAGGTGAAGCTGATTTCCATTTATCATTAGTTACTTTTAGTATGTGGACTGGACTTAATATGTTTTCTAATTGAAACATGCATGTATATACATGTACATGTACAGTCATTTTTATACGCCCACATTGTTTGTGGCCACTCTACATATCACAATTCTTATCCGATTTTGACGAAACTTGAAATATAGGTTCATCTCCATAAGATCTTGGTTGCTTTCGATAATAGCTTGTATGGCCGCTCCTCGTACTCAAATAGCGTAAAAATATGGTATATCAATGTTGTGGACCCTCTAGAGGTCACAATTTTCTTCTGATTTTGATGAAACTTGAAATGTGAGTTTATAACTGCAAGATCTCGGTTCCTTTCAATATTCGCGCCTATCGGACGGTAACTTCCTGAATTATGGCTCCTGATTGTTCGAAAAATCGCATTTTTAGCTTGCAGATTCTCTAGAGGTCACAATTTTTTTTTCCAATTTTAAAAACCGTTGAAATATTTCACCATTCCACCATAATGAAGGTTGAATTTGAATTTCTGGAAAATCGAAATGAAACTGCCAGACAAAATGGCCACTCTTTGTACGCAAATTGTGTAAAAGTATGCAATACGAAGGTTGTGGATCTCTGGAGGTCACAATTTTTATCCAATTTTGATGAAACTTAAAACATACCTTTATATCCCAAAGATCTCAGACCCTTTTGATATTTGCGCATTTCAGATCATAACTTTCTGGATTATTGCCCCTGATTGTACAAAAAATCGTTTTTGTTTTTAGCTTGTTCTCTATCCATCTCTTGCAAAATGTGGGCGTATCCTGCCTGGCAGCCGCTCGTACAAATTTACATGTAGCTTGAATGTACATAATGTGGCCATGTCTTTATGAGTGCATTAGGTAGATTATCATTCAAATACTTTTACATTGTATGTGTTTGAACTTATTTATTCAATTAATATTTCCCTTTTGTTAAAATAATATCTTTTTAAATTCTTACTATAACCATGTTTTTCATATGCACACAAGTACATGTATTTATTTGTAGTCTGTACATTGCTGTTGTATTATTGTACATAATGTACCTTATTTATCTTTAGTCCCTTTCATATTGAATTTTGAAATGAAATGAAATGAAATGGACTGAAATGTTTTTTAACGTCCTACTGTTCTGCTCCGAACTGGGTTAATGAAGACGGGCATACGCCATACAGTGTGCTACGAGAGAAATTTTGCCCTGACAGTGACACTACGGTCTACTTTTATATCGAATTGTAACAGTCAAGGGATCTTTTACTTGCACGCCTATGTGTACACAGGACCTCAGTTTTTCGTCTCATCCGAACGACTAGACAGCTATCCTTGTCAGGCGCTCCGTCCTTCATCACTGACAAGGTGGAACCACGCCGGATAATTTGGATGAACTTTCTCGGCCAGTGCAGGGATTGAACACCCGACCTCCAGGCTAGCGAGCCAGCGTCTTACCCACTTAGGCCCCATGATCCCCCTCTTTCATATCTTACCAATATAAATGAAATAAAATGGGGTTTAATGTCCTACTGTTCTGCTCCGAATTGGGCTATTGAAGACGGGCATATGCCATACACTGTAGTGGGGGGTGGCTGCAGTAGCCCTATAATTACATATAGGACAGAGGACTCAAAACTATTGTCATATTCTATAAAGAAAATCTTTAGTTAATCCGAGATGAAACAAACTATGTGAAAATTAAAGGAAGATCTCATTTCTTTTCTTCTGTATTATACAAAATATGATGTTAGTCTAAAACATTATGGTTCATATTTAATTTTCTTTTGTTTCAGAACCGTCTTGTTGTTCAAGAATACAGAATCTGTCGTGTAGATATGTGTGTGATCAAGTAAGTCTTTGAACATTTATGTTACTCTTTTACAACACCACATATCTTACTCTTTTACAACACCACATATTGTTAATCTTTTACAACACTGTTTGAGTCCCTTTAACTACCATCCAATATTTTATTAATAATATTCATTTCATTTATTTCTAACTCACTTTAAATTCAATTTATTTCAGTTCTAACTCCCATTAAAATTTGAATTCCATTCGGTTGAGTTCTAACTTGCTTGCAATTTAGTTTAAAACATATCTGTGGGTTTGTGGGTAGTAGTAATCAACATAATATTTCAACAAACAGCGGGAAGTCTGAATGCCTACACTGTATTGAATTATATTCTCACTAAGAGATACCATCTTTTTAGTTTCTAAACAAATTCTTCATCTGATAAATTACAGAAAGTATGGAAATAAAACTAATAATGTAGGTTAATTTTATCAAAGTTTACTGAAGAAAATTCTCAGAATGGAGCAAGGTTTTGAAATGAGATAGATTATAGTTTTGTTTTAATGTGTTTTTAAAATTTTATTTCGCAAACTGCTGAGTTAGTTGAAAGATATTTTAGATATTTATTTATTTGATTTGATAACTGAAACTGTCTGTATATGTATTACTCTGTGATAATGTGCTAGGAGAATACCTTTAAGATGGGGTCATGTAATGTCTGTAAAAATTGTAAAATAAAATAATTTGGCGAGATATACATGTACATATAGGTAGCGTTTTCCAGGAGGACAGAAGATTGCCTCAAGCAGTGTCCGAGTGTTTCCTTTCCGCGATTCTTGGACTGGTATCATTTCGGGAACCATAAGAATTCAGAATAAAAATTGTTCAGCAATTTTTTAGCAGCTTTTTGGTGTTTGTCATTTAAGCTTATCTCATTACTTGATAATGATGTTGATTACCCCGAAAATGCTAGTGAAAATCAACTGCTAGCTTTCCAGTTTGCTTGAGTGGAATTGTGCCGAACCCTTGTTTAAATTTCAAAAATCATTATGTACATTTTGAATTTGTCTTGTCTGGTGCAACTGCAAACTACAATTTACTGATTTATATTGGGGGAAAAATCCATCAAGATATATTGCATAAGGCAACCTGACTTGTGAGGTCATAATAATTTAAAATAATTCACTCATAATTCTCATAGCTTATTTATGACATGTTGCGCACATTATGCTTATTTTAGATTATATTTTGCATTTCATTTTTTTTACCTGCCTGCCTGGAGAGACTATTTCTCTCTCGACAAGCGCCAGAGGCAATGTTACTGAGCTTATAATAATGAGAATTATCTTTAAATGATGGTATTGTTGTGCAGTGGATTGATGTATATGCTATTTATGACTTCTGTTGGCATCCATCATGTGTTATTAAATTAAATTATACCGTTTAGAATTTATAACATGGATATTTTCTGACAATTACTAAAGGTAATAATTCTCCAGGCCAAATCAGTTCTTAGGTAACCACATAAATTCTGTTTTTTTTATGCTTGTTGTAAATGCAGATTTTAGAAAGGTTTTGATATTAAATGAATGCTATTTCCTTCAATTCTTATCAATTTTCTCAATTGAATTAAACATTTCACATGTTGTTTGCATGTAGGATTATACATATTCATCATGTATATTACATCTACCATATTTTGAGTGAGAGAAATGGGGTTTATTAATGTCCAACTACTCCTGATCACGTACAAGTATGGAATAAAAACCACGCCACTTGACTCAATGATATTAAATGCACACGGTAGACCATTCGGCCACCCACTTCCCCAACTTACATGTATTTGGAAGTAAACTAAACATGATGAATCTGTTTCTCTAAAAGTTTTATTCCATAGACATTTTCTTTTTTTAAAGAATATTTTTTATTCAGGATATCTGAATAGGATTGGGGATCAGGCTTAGACTATGTAAAACCCCTCTCCCTTCTTTAGAGATCCTAAGCACCGAAAAGTTTATGGTGGCCCAATATACATTGTATACTGTATGTAATTCAAAATGATTTATTTTTCAATATTTTAACTCAATGGTTGGAAGAGTATATTCTTCTATATTCATTACCTTAGGTTCACGTTGCTCAAAATAATGCTGCTTGATTGTTAACAAGAACTGCAACTATACACCACATTTCACAGAAATAAAGGGATTGACAATGTTTGTATGTTGAAGCGAGGAAAGTTATAGGATATTAATAACTGTATATAAATCAATATTTTCTGACAATACCCCTTGATTTATTAAGGAAATGATTTCCTTTAAAATGCAAGCATCTCACAATCTCTGATCTTCAATAGATAAAACTAATCATCTCTCCATGTTGTGCTACATCAGAAACTATGATGGTCTCAAAATGATTAAATTGCTACATGTAATTTGACATGACGTAATAAATCCCATTCCATTCCTATGGAATTAAAAAAAAAACACCTGTATTTCCCAAAAATCAAAAAAACATGATAAACTAATAAAAAGTAAAGATTATTCGTATCAACCAGTATATTTTCTATTTGACAAGTCTGTGGCACAGACGTTTTTCATCTCAAAAACTTGACAATCTTATCGTTTTTATATCACTAAAGTTTTCTTGTCCTGCTAGATGTTGATATTGTCTAAAAGCCCTGAGGCAAGATATCCAGCAAGGTGTTTTAACCATGTAGCTGTAAATCTAAATAATAGACTGTTTTAATGTGAATAATCAGAATAATGACTAACTCCGTAGGGACTTGTTAAACAGTAAACATTAATTTTATATGATTTCTTCTTGTGCTAATCACAATAATTAATTAAGAAAAAGGTATTTCATGGCTTTAGCTTTATTTTTTTGATTAACAATTCTCCTCATCTTGCATGACGAAAATGCTGTTTCTGTGTGCGATCACTTCTCTTTATCAGGTCTATAAAATTAATTAGAAATGAAAGTAAGTCGATGTACATGTATTTGATGGCTTGTAGTTAATTCTGTCAGTTATTGCACAATTTCAGGAATCAGTGTTATTGCTACAAGATGAAAAGGAATGTTAGTTAAGCATAATGAGAGATTACATGTACAAGAATCACATAAATTAATGGAACAGTTTGTTTAATGTTGAAAACAAAATAAATTGAAGATTTTAACTTAAACAAGCAATGCAATATTAATGTCACTTAAAAATTGAAAGATTTTGCAAACAAGGGAATTGATGATTTCAATCCTTGTTCCCAGCTTAAGCATGAAGGATTTGTAAGGAGACTACAAAGTCATCAACACTAAATATCAATATGGAACACATGCAATTACCATTTTAATTAAAGCAACGTTTCGTTGAGGGATCTCTCAACTTTTTTAAGCTAATTCGAAACGTCGCTTTAATTAGAATAGTAATTGTGTTCCATATTATGTTTACGTGTGTCAGTTCCTAAATGCGGGTCAAAGAAGGGACTACCAAGTCCTTTAAGAGGAGATAAAAAATCTAGTGAACATGTACATAAGGGATCCCTTGGCATTTGGAATTCAGTGGCTAGATATATAATACTCTGTATTGATCACAAAATAACTAATAGTTTTAGTTAATAGCACACTAAACCTGATTTCATTTTATTTAATCTCATTTTGTTAATTCTGTCTGCACTCTTCCAGAATCATTGATATATTTTTCATCATCTAAAAGGTCCCATGAGGTCTAATTATAACAAATCTTAGTTTGTAGCAGAATTCCCTGATCAGAGTAGAGTACATCAGCTGTATTCAATATTTACACATTATCATGTTTTCCTTAATTTAATTTCATTCTGCAGATAGAATTATAATTTGCTACACCCAAACTTCATCGAATTCCATTTGTAGGGGCGTCAGGTTAAAATATTAAAACTTGTGAGAGCTAACTCAAAATTACAACAAGCAATTGTTAAGCGCTCAAATGTTAAGTGCTATTGCACTCGTGCTATTGTAAAAATAGTAAGCATACTCTGCCTTGTGTATGCTACTTGTTTGGACTTGGATTTCAGAAGCTGAAGTTACTCAAGTTAGTAATATGCATTCATTAAGTGACATCAGTACTTCTAGAAAATAAGCATACCTTGTCTCATGCATGACAGATTTTCTAATTCTGTTCCAATCGGTTTATTACACAGTAATAAAATTTTAAATTTGCAAAATAACTTTTTTATCTTTCCCAAGAATGATTTCTCACTTGTCATTTTATACTAGGCTAATGGTTGACTGAACATTGAAGAAGCTTGCAATTCTAAACAATAACAATTTTGTTTTCTATAATAACTCTTGAATTTTTGCATATTATTTCACTAGCTTCGGATTATTGCATTTGAATAGATTGGAATTTTAACTGTGTCTGTTTTAACCATTTACATATCAGCCAGAAGATCATTTGCCTTTATTTAGTGTTGGTGAAAGGCTTTCTATGTCAATTAATATTTGATGTGTGTTATTTTTTTTCTTACTCAATTCTATTAATACTAGCAAGGTTGTCAGTGCAGGTAATGCATCTCGGGCGTGTCCAATGATTTAAAGATAAGTTCTTAGTAATATTAATCAATTCATCTTTTAATATAGTTATGGTATTTTGATTTAAATAGAGAATCTATTAAGATTTCCTGTGGATGAATTGATTGTATAACAAAAGCAAATAGTATACAGAGACTGAATTAAGTAAGCACTAGTCTTGTGATCAGAATGTTGACAGTTAATAGTTTGTTTTATATGCCTACATTGAGATGTGATTTTATATTGTCGTTGTCTTCTTTCTGTTCATAATTCAACTGATCACTTTAGAAACTGCTTTAACCATCGTTTATAATAGCGAGCAGATGAAGGTTATTGAGGTATAACAATTTCTTGTAATTACTTTTAAAGTTATTGCCCTTTGCTTTCTTGCATGTCTGATAGCTGATTTGTATGTTTCTCAATTGGTCATTTCTATTTATACCAAAACTTAGATACGATGAAAATGAGAACCATTGTCCCCATAACAATTTCTCAGCTTGTCCATGATACCATAG